TCGGTTCAAGCATATTATTTCTATCCTATAACGTTTAGGTTGCGAAGGCGTTCCTCATCGTGCGTTGTCGTGCAATTTTCTTCGTGTCAGGTATTTTCTTTTTATTCATCTACCTATTTGATTCCATCTATTCTTCAATTTTAAGATTCGTTAGTGTGTGGTGTTGCTCCGTGCCACTTTGGTGTTACCGCGTTCTTTCCTGTCAGGTGCGTTTGTTTTTGTTCTTCTCTCTATCTTTTCTTATCCATTCACTATTTCAGTCCGGAAAGTTTTTTCGTGTGCGCAATTTCTTGAAGCCGTTGTAATCGTCGAGTTATTTTTTGACAGTGTGTTTCTTTTCATTCTTCTCTCTATCTCTTCTTATCCACTCACTATTTCAGTCCGGATAATTTTTTCCTGTGCGCAAATTTTTCAAGCCGTTGTAACCGTCGAGTTGTTTTTGTGTGAGGTATGCTTGTCCTCCTCTTATGTCTAATGGTATCCAACTACTTTCTATTTCAATTTGAAGATTAGCCTTATCAACATTTGACATAATATTTCACATCAACTATCGTACCCTTCACTTGACCTGATTCTGTAGCTATGCGTGATTTTCGTTCATCCTTCCTTGATGAAAAAAACCTACCAGGTAGAAGTTAGGAAGGGAGTTTGAAATATAGTTTGATGCGTGCGCTTTTCTAACAGTTTCACAACATGTAGGTGAGATACTCATTTTCACGAAGAAGGGCCCATTTGGAAAGGAGAATATAGCGCGACACTACACTGCACTGCCCTCCATTTTTGGACCACCATATTTACTTCAGTCACTATTTTCGTTTATCTGTGAAATAAGCCCTGCGGAGTTACTATGTTTAGGCATGGAATTATCAGAGTTAGTTCATGAAAGCCACTACTCACACCATCAAACAGAAGAGGTATTTGTTTTTACTTCTTGTTGAAAATTTTAGTCTCAAGTCAAGTCATTAAAGCAACAGTTCAGGGAGGGTCCGAAAATTTCAATGCCACTACTACTGAGGGATACACGAGCCCTAGTGAAGAACATATGCAGTGGAAATAATAAACGAACTTACCTCAGAAACTCAAAAACAGGGTGGAAGTTCCCATCATGGGTGTGCCGGCCGTCATTGGACGCGTCGGCAATCGTGCTCGTTTTGGGACCACAGGGAAAATTTGAACTCGTTCCTTTAAAAGCAATCAAATGTGACGCGAGATGGATTTCTTGTTTCGTTATTGAAAAGCTCCTCTCTGATATCACTTCATGTCTTCTTCAGTTTCACAATGTGCTTCATCTCTTCCCGTATTATTGTTATTATGATCAGTATTTATTAGTGTCACTTGTTATGGTAATTATTAATACTGTAGTTATTATTATTTGCTCTTCGAAACTTTCAGTCTCAATTTACTTCCTACAACAGGAATACATACTTACGGCGACAATAGGACAAAACGGAACTTGTCTCCCAGTTCCTCAGCATGTAGTAATGACACCTTCTTTGACAACATATAAACTATAAACAACTACACATGAAAAATCACATCAAAAATGCAATTTACGCGCTTCAATGCATTGTTGGCAAGTAGCCAGCTATTACTGGCAATTTGCCCAGCAAGTGCGATTGGAGCGCGTTTACAGCGGGCACGTTCAGACAACTCGTCCAACGTGCGTCTTATCAACTCATTGAGCGGCAGAGGGAGAGTACCTGTCTAAGACCCTCCCCGACGTTTTTTTCCAGTTTTTCATACATTAATCGTCTGGTTTTCATCTACAACTTCATTATTGGTGGTTTTTTTCCCGCGAAACCGTTCCTGAACTGTTGCTTTAAAGAAGGAAACGCCTAAATAAGATGTTCAAGCTCTGCGCGCGTTCGTGTCGAGCAGGCTTTCGGTGTGATAAAGCGGCAGTTTCCATCCTTCACGGAGAGTGCAGGTGAAAACTGCTGAATGTTGCTTCCCTATCTGTAGTAGTCGTAATCAGTGTAATTCGAGGTACTCCCCACAAAGAGCGGTCTGAGATGATTGAGCTTGCTGTGTGCTACGAAACATAGCGCGATACAGCACAACGAACCTGTCGCTTACGATGAGTACACTGGGGAGGACCGCTAAGATGAGGAGGTTCCGTCGGGACCCTCTGTTGAGCTCTCCAGCGAAAGTGCTCTCACTTTTTTACGGGAATTGATAGAAAACTACTTCTAGGTTAACAAGATTTCTTCACTAACTCAGATTTATTCTGTAGGCGTGACAAAAGATTTATCAAAGCAATTTAGGCTTTGCTGTACTTCGATGACCAAGGGCTTCGAAGGAGACTCGGCAAAAAAGCGGGAGCTTCCTACTCTGGTGGTTTTGTATCGCAATGCCCAGGACGTTGCAATTCATTTATGTAGTCGTTGTGTATGTACATGACATTGCGTAATGCTGTTGAATATTGACATTACGATTTGTGTAAATTTTGATAAGTGATTCTCGATTTCCTCGTGTTGATAATGGACAGTGGAATCGAATCTGTATTTTTTCTTTGGAAACTAAAGCGCCATTTCAAATCGTACTTGAAGCCAACAAGTAAGGCAGAAAGAAACCAATAAACATGAACAAGTGCATATAAAGCATATCAGTGACACGTAGAAATGAGATACACTGGAGGTAGGAATGTACATAATATAGGCAGACCTAGAAATGAGATACACTGGAACCAAATAAACCATCTCTTCATTTGAGCGGAATAAAACCTACTCGAATGTACAACTATATTATAACTGACATCGGGAATCTTCCATGACGAATGTAGAAGAAGATCTGCAAATAATTTCTACTCGGCTGGATCATGAGAATTGAAAAAGAAATGAATTGACTTGTAGTTGGAATAAGAACTTAAGAATAGTATGCCATCTCACCTCAACTGTTATGGTTAACTCTCTTAGCCAGAATGCATGTTCTTCTTTGTCCAATATTCAATTTGTAATTCCGCTTGGCGGATTCGTAATTCCATGAGCCGTTTTTTTGCCTCAGCTAGGCGGATTTTCGAATCCGCCACTTGCGTCTTCTTTTCGGTCAGACTGGCCTTCTTCTGTAGTAGGTCGGTGCGTAGCGTTTGATTTCGCATCTCATGACCGAGAATCTCTTCGCGGGAGGTAGCCTTTCTTCTTCCTTGACTGGAACTTGAGGAGAGAGCAGGCGAGGCGGACCTTATGCGCTGCAACAACAAATAAGTGTTTTGTATGAATGAAGAATAGTACCAAAATTGATACCTTCAAGCTCTCTCTTTGTCCGACCTCCACCCCTTTTATTCCCGTTAATCTGGGCTTCCACGACAGCGAGAAGCATTTTTTTCGGCAGCTGTTAAAATGGGTAGAGGACTCATTCGACCCACGACCTGTTTTGTTCCTTCCGGCCTTCTTAAATGGAATGTCGTTACGTTTACAGGATTAGGCTCTAACAAAGGTACTGCATACTTACCAGTGCCACGTGCCATATTGTTCAATAATCTTAATTTCGCTCGCGTATTTTTCGATCCTAATCTGCTTCTCTGTTTCTGAGTCGCAACGCCAATTGCATTCACATCTTGAGTTAATTGCGATATAAACCGTTTCTTTGCTTGAAACCAACGCAATAAACTTCTCTTTTCTCTGCAGCGAGAAAGCGGCCACGTCACTCACCAACCAACCCTCCCTGAGATGCCTTGGACCAGGGTGAATATCGGTCGAGGAAATCCTCGACAGGGGGGTCGTACCTGTTGGGCTGGTCCATGGGGGGTCGTACTCTTGGGGGTCAGTAACAGAAGTGGTATCATGGTGCAGATAGGTAATAGGGTATAGCGCAGCAGAAAATGAAAACATCCGAAAAAAAACATGATATTAAATTTTCTTTGCAGGTTCAGTCGCTCCATTCCTCCACCTTCATGAGAAGGGCGTATTTGAAGGCAGTACAAAGAATGAAAGTGCATCCCCGCAAAGAAGAGTGCCACATGTGCGCACGCGCTGCAAAGGCACCTCCTCCGCCTATCACTCGCTCCTTCTCCCTTAATACCTCGCTGAGAATGACGCTGTTGTTAGGGACCCTGTCGGAAAAACGACAACCGTGAAGAAAAAGCGCTGGGCAAATGAAGTTGTTTTTTAGGTTACAGGAATAGCACAACACACTATGTCTACTACAATACAGTTTCGTTCGAAGGTCCCCATCATATAACACCTTTCAATCGATTCTGCAACTGTGAGTGGAGGAGGGATGCATGGCTTATACCAATACCAAATCGGATGATGACGATTGCTCCTATTCTTATTGTTTGCGTTCAAAGATATTGTTCTAGACACATTCCGAGTGTTGCCAACGAGTCACACTTGCAATGGTGAATGAGGGAGCGGATTTCCAGGTGGCCGGATCCGACCTCGATAGATCCTCGACGCAATTATCTCTTCAACCAAAAAGCTGTAGAAGAAAACTAAACAGACCATCAGGAAGCGCAAACCTTCCGCTTTCCAAAACTATCTTCCCTTTTTCAGGATCTTACAATATAAGAGATATATTGCTCTTGAAGTGGCAAAAACTCGCGTGAAAATTTCGGCCTCCTCGACATTTACTCGACGAAATTTGACAGACCCTATCTTTCTGCAAGGAAGGCTTCCAGAGCAATTTCGATGCTTGTTGGAAACGCGAAATCCAGCTCTATCTAACTCTACCTCAAGCTGCTTCAAAGGTTGTGAAATGGAGGAATGCAACCTTTTCATCGAGGGTGTAGATTCGGACGTTTTTTTTTTGAAATTTCGGCAAATCTGACCCAGTGACAATCGCGCCGCAGCTGCCGTTGAATCGGCCTTTGATACACTCGGCTGTTTTGATATACTCAAGCAAGAATCAAGATTGAATCGCAACCCCGTGTCTTCAGGATTTCTGTGCGTTTCTGAACGAACCTCGCCTTGAGGTCACACAAAGTTAATGCCTCTTTCCTCGAGTCGATATTTCAGTATGTACACAAAAGTATGCAGCGATGGAAGACGTGCATAGATGACAAGATGAAGCGTCCTTAGCATTATTTTGCAGAATTTTTTTTGATTTGTTTTGCAGGATTTATTTTAATTGAATTAATTTGCTCTGTTAGAGGGGGTCGTGCCAGGATCTCGATTTCGGGGGGGGGGTCGTACCTCTGCGACCACGTACTCGACACGATTTTCACCCTGCTCCAGTGGTATAACTATAACCTCGTATTCTCAGCGTTCGGCTGAGAATCAAAGTCCAATTCCTTTTCAGTGAAGGCAGCGGTCTTTTGAACCTGCGAAATAGAAACCACTAGGTCTACAGTAACACCAACCCCTGACGAAAATGACCAACACCACTAGAACTCTCTCCTCCTTCGCTCGCCATAGGTTGAGTAGGGCCCTCTTCCTTTTCAATTGGGTAGACGTCCAGAGGGTCGAGGGAATCTATCGGCCCAATATCATCATAGACCCAGTCGTCGTCTGGATCCATCCTGCAATGCTCTTATTTCCTCCAAACCGTGCTTTCTCGACCACTCCTCCGACTTCTGACAACCTTACCTGACACAAAAAAACTCGACTGTATCGAAATTTCACGAGAAAAGAGCACACGAATAAACCTTCAAATTGAAATGGAGGATAGATAGGCATCAACAGAGAAAAGAGCAAAAAGAAACGTACCTGTCTTAAAAAAACTCGACCCGTATCAGTATCAAAAAGGCACGAAAAACCAGTACATGCGAAAGAGTCGTAATAACAGTGAATGACTGGAAGGAAGTAAAGAGAATAGCAAAAAGAAACATACTTGACAGCAAAAAAACTCGACGATTTCAAAATGGCACGAGGCGACAGTACGCCTAAATAAACCTTCAAACTAAAATAGTGAAAAGATAGGTACCAGTAGATAGTAAAGCAAAAATAAACCTACCTTAAAAAATGACTCGGCGGTTAGAATGGCTTGAAGCTGCAATCCGAAAATATCTTAGGACTGAAACAGACACAAAAAAAACTCCACTGTATCGAAATGTCAAGACATAGGCCAAACCATTACCGAACAATCTCTAGGAACTGAAATTGGAATATAGAATTGAAACTGGGAGAAGAGCAAAAAGAAACAAACACACACGAAAGAATCTTCCAATGAAAATAATGGGTGGACCAATTATTTATAGGCAAGAGGGGAGGCGTGTCCGGATATTGTGGTGTGGGCTGTGGCTTGAAGATAGTCCTTAATTACCCAGGGATATATTGGACAGCGTCCACGAGGTCGATGCTCATCGAGGCCAAACTCCTTGATACCCGAGGTTACTTCGGGCAGCGTCTACGATCGCGGCCGAAGTAACCCCGGGTATCAGGACTGCCGATTTTCAGAATTCACCTCCTGGCGCTCATGTCCTTGGGGGGACATTCAAACAGAGCATTCAAAAACCGCTGGTAGGTGAATGCAGGACTAAGCCCAGGACTGGGAATAAACACCCGGTAGAACAATGGTTGCTCACATCCTCTCCCAGAATCCTTTCTTCTCTTTAAGGCTTAGTCCCGAGTTGTATTAGTGGCTCACTTACATAAATGTCCCCCCTAAGGACATGAGCGCCCACCTCCTTTTTCTATTTCATTGAGCAATTTGAAAACGATTCCGCGATTTACTTTAACGATGAAGCTGCATCAAAACTGCTTGCACCTTCTCTTGACATGTTTTTACATGAGAGATGGCTCTGGAGGAGACCGCAGACGACGAGCGTACACGCCCCCTGCCCACTGGGCGCGAACCCTGCAGCCAAACCGTATGCTCGTCTGGGCTCTCCTCGCGAGAGAAATCCTGGTTGACAGAAGTCTTGTAACCATGTTTAGGCATGGAATTATACGGAACTCCCGATATTGTGCGGAGGTACGGAAGAGTGTCCGTGCAGCGCACATTCCGAGATAGAACTCGTCCTTACGAGGTCCTGAGTGACGTCGAATTTAGGAAAGACTACCGTTTTTCTCGCCACGTTTTCTTTCAAATTTGCGGATTAGTGGATGCGGACCTTCAAAGGACGGGGTTGGAGAAAAGCATTAATATGTCGGTTGCTGACCAAGTGAGCATGTCGATACATCTGCTCGGGAGGAATGTGATGCAGAGTGATGCGGCAAGACTAGCAGGGTGCAATCAATCCACTGTATCTCGAGTGCTCAAAAATTTCGTCAGAGCCATAAATCGAAGGGCGAGCGAATACATATCCTGGCCTAGCGAAAGGGAGAGCATAGGAATCAACGCTAGCTTCTACAGCAGATATCATCTACCTGGAATTGTCGGAATAATCGACGGAACACACTGTCGAATACAACGACCTACCACAATGAGGAAGATTTTGTGTGCAGGAAAGGATACCACAGCATCAATGTGGGAGTCGTGGTAGACTACAACATGAAGGTGCGTGGGTATGCGCCAACTGGCCCGGATCTGCACACGATTCCCACGTATTCAAGACATCGGCACTGTACCAGCAGCTGAGGGCTGGGGAAGTTCAAGGTGTCTTGATAGGGGATTCCGCTTATAGCGCGGAGACGTTTTCTATTAAAGGCCGCTACTCACGTTGTCATTGAAGCCACTACTCACACCATCAAACAGAAGAGGTATTTGTTTTTACTTCTTGTTGAAAATTTTAGTCTCAAGTCAATCATTAAAGCAACAGTTCAGGGAGGGTCCGAAAATTTCAATGCCACTACTACTGAGGGATACACGAGCCCTAGTGAAGAACATATGCAGTGGAAATAATAAACGAACTTACCTCAGAAACTCAAAAACAGGGTGGAAAGTCCCTCAACCCGCCTTGCCCTTCCATTGACACCGCCAGCAATCGTGGCTCGTTTTGGACCACAGGATAAATTTGAACTCGTTCCTTTAAAGCAATTAATGTGGATGACGCGAGATGGTAGATTCCTTGTTTCGTTATTGAAAAGCTCCTCTCTGATATCACTTCATGTCTTCTTCAGTTTCACAATGTGCTTCATCTCTTCCCTTATTATTGTTATTATGATCAGTATTTATTAGTGTCACTGTTATGGTAATTATTAATACTGTAGTTATTATTATTTGCTCTTCGAAACTTTACTCAATCTCAATTTCTTCACTACAACGAAGTTATTACGGCGACAATAGGACAAAACGGAACTTGTCTCCCAGTTCCTCAGCATATTGTAATGACACCTTCTTTGACAACATATAAACTATAAACAACTACACATGAAAAATCAAATCAAAAATGCAATTTACGCGCTTCAATGCATTGTTGGCAAGTAGCCAGCTATTACTGGCAATTTGCCCAGCAAGTGCGATTGGAGCGCGTTTACAGCGGGCACGTTCAGACAACTCGTCCAACGTGCGTCTTTATCCATTGCTGAGCGGCAGAGGGAGAGTACCTGTCTAAGACCCTCCCCGACGTTTTTTTCCAGTTTTTCATACATTAATCGTCTGGTTTTCATCTACAACTTCATTATTGGTGGTTTTTTCCCGCGAAACCGTTCCTGAACTGTTGCTTTAAAACAAAACTCTACAATCAGAGCTGTCTGCTACTGCGCGCGTTCGTGTCGAGCAGGCTTTCGGTGTGATAAAGCGGCAGTTTCCATCCTTCACGGAGAGTGCAGGTGAAAACTGCTGAATGTTGCTTCCCTATCTGTAGTAGTCGTAATCAGTGTAATTCGAGGTACTCCCCACAAGAGCGGCTGAAATGTTTCGTTGCGTGTCGCTAACGAACATAACGATACAGCACAACGAACCTGTCGCTTACGATGAGTACACTGGGGAGGACCGCCAAGATGAGGAGGTTCCGTCGGGACCCTCTGTTGAGCTCTCCAGCGAAAGTGCTCTCACTTTTTTTACGGGAATTGATAGAAAACTACTTCTAGGTTAACAAGATTTCTTCACTAACTCAGATTTATTCTGTAGGCGTGACAAAAGATTTATCAAAGCAATTTAGGCTTTGCTGTACTTCGATGACCAAGGGCTTCGAAGGAGACTCGGCAAAAAAAGCGGGAGCTTCCTACTCTGGTGGTTTTGTATCGCAATGCCCAGGACGTTGCAATCATTTGTATCTAGTTGTATGTACAGTGACATTGCGTATCATGCTGTGAATATTCACATTACGATTTGTGTAAATTTTGACAAGTGATTCTCGATTTCCTCGTGTTGATAATGGACAGTGGAATCGAATCTGGTATTTTTTCTTTGGAAACTAAAGCGCCATTTCAAATCGTACTTAAAGCCAACAGTAAGGCACAAGTAACACAATAAACATGAACAAGTGCATATAAAGCATATCAGTGACACGTAGAAATGAGATACACTGGAGGTAGGAATGTACATAATATAGGCAGACCTAGAAATGAGATACACTGGAACCAAATAAACCATCTCTTCATTTGAGCGGAAAAAACCTACCGAATGCAATATATTATAACTGACATCGGGAATCTTCACTATGAATGTACAAATATGTGTATTAGGTACCGGATATCTTAGTGTCGCTTTTCTGAGTTCAGGAAGTTTTGGGGCCGATTACTATGGAAAATCAATATCCCAGAAGGCAGTTTTTGCTCATTAATATTGCGAAATATGTTGCTTACCGTCTTCTATTGTTGGTTCACAATTTAACTTTCCCCCAATTTTTATACTTTCTTCTGAAAATTCCTGGGTCCAGTGTGCAAATTCGCATGTGTGTACCAAATGCATCAAAATTCTTGCTGAGAGCTGTAACCTCCGCCCACCAAACCAGCATTGCATTTGATGGAGGGAATACTACCATTTAAAATGCTCATCGGTTTTTCACAGTTTTCTTAAAAGACAGTAAAGTCTTTGAAGGGATGCCCGCAACCGTCGCCAAAAAGGTGGTCCTAGCTAAATCAGTCAAAACGGGGCTGCACCAGTCTTGTGCTGGAATGGTAGGACACCCTAGCAGTTACTGATCGATGGTGCACAGACGCTCTAACGAAGTTGATTGACCAAGAAATTCTAATAAATGTGCTCATCTGCTACTCACGTGTGCTCAAAAAGGGTGCGTTTTTGACCCATGTGGCAAAAAAGACTCCGGGAAAAATTGTCCAGTTGAGCTGGTAAGTAATAAATTTTCCACCAAACAGTGCAGACCCTACTCTAACTAACTTATTATAAATTCCTAACTTTAATCGTACGAGGTTTTCACTCATACTGGTAAATGGGAAAGGGCTAATGAGTCATTCGATGGATATGCCGTTTCACTCACTGGATTTTGAATTAAAATATTGGTGGTCCGAAACTCGCGGTGAAAAAACGACACTAAGATATCCGGTACCTAATATTAATTCCTATCGGTGATCAGTCTGAGAATTGAAAGAGAAATGATTACTATGTAGTGCCGAATAAGAACTTATATATAGTTATCATATTACGAACTGTTATGGTTAACTCTATTAGCCAGAATGCATGTTCTTCTTTGTCCAATATTCAATTTGTAATTCCGCTTGGCGGATTCGTAATTCCATGAGCCGTTTTTTTGCCTCAGCTAGGCGGATTTTCGAATCCGCCACTTGCGTCTTCTTTTCGGTCAGACTGGCCTTCTTCTGTAGTAGGTCGGTGCGTAGCGTTTGATTTCGCATCTCATGACCGAGAATCTCTTTGCGGGAGGTAGCCTTTCCTTCTTTTCCTTGACTGGAACTTGAGGAGAGAGCAGGCGAGGCGGACCTTATGCGCTGCAACAACAAATAAGTGTTTTGTATGAATGAAGAATAGTACCAAAATTGATACCTTCAAGCTCTCTCTTTGTCCGACCTCCACCCCTTTTATTCCCGTTAATCTGGGCTTCCACGACAGCGAGTTGAAGCATTTTTTTCGGCAGCTGTTAAAATGGGTAGAGGACTCATTCGACCACCACCTGTTTTGTTCCTTCCGGCCTTCTTAAATGGAATGTCGTTACGTTTACAGGATTAGGCTCTAACAAGGTACTGCATCTTACCAGTGCACTGCCATATTTTTTAATATCTTAATTTCGTCGCGTATTTTTTGATCTATCTGCTTCTCTGTTCTGATCGCAATGCCGATTGCATTGACATCTTGAGTTAACTGCGATATAAACCGTTTCTTTGCCTAAAACCAACGCAATATAACTTTTCTTTTCTCTGCAGCGAGAAAGGCCACGCTCACTCACCCACACACCCTCCCTTGAGATGCCTGCGATCGAGTGATGATATACCTCGTAGTTCTCAGCGTATCGGCTGAGGATCAGTTCCAATTCCTTTTCAGTGAAGGCAGCGGTCTTTCGAACCTGCGAAATAGAAACCTCTAGGTCTACAGTAACACCAACCCCTGACGAAAATGACCAACACCACTAGAACTCTCTCCTCCTTCGCTCGCCATAGGTTGAGTAGGGCCCTCTTCCTTTTCAATTGGGTAGACGTCCAGAGGGTCAAGGGAATCTATCGGCCCAATATCATCATAGACCCAGTCGTCGTCTGGATCCATCCTGCAATGCTCTTATTTCCTCCAAACCGTGCTTTCTCGACCACTCCTCCGACTTCTGACAACCTTACCTGACACAAAAAACTCGACTGTATCGAAATTTCACGAGAAAAGAGCACACACGAATAAACCTTCAAATTGAAATGGAGGATAGATAGGCATCAACAGAGAAAAGAGCAAAAAGAAACGTACCTGTCTTAAAAAAACTCGACCGTATCAGTATCAAAAAGGCACGAAAAACCAGTACATGCGAAAGAGTCCTAGGAGTAAAACAGTGAATGACTGGAAGGAAGTAAAGAGAATAGCAAAAAGAAACATACTTGACAGCTAAAAAAACTCGACGATTTCAAAATGGCACGAGGCGACAGTACACCTAAATAAACCTTCAAATTAAAATAGTGAAAAGATAGGTACCAGTAGATAGTAAAGCAAAAATAAACCTACCTTAAAAAATGACTCGGCGGTTAGAATGGCTTGAAGCTGCAATCCGAAAATATCTTGGGACTGAAACAGACACAAAAAAATCCACTGTATCGAAATGGCAAGAATAGCCAACATATACGAAAGAATCTTGGAACTGAAATTGTGAAAGGATAGAATGAAATGGGAGAAGAGCAAAAAGAAACAAACACACACACGAAAGAATTTTCCAATGAAAATAATGGGTGGACCAATTATTTATAGGCAAGAGGGGAGGCGTGTCCGGATATTGTGGTGTGGGCTGTGGCTTGAAGATAGTCCTTAATTACCCAGGGATATATTGGACAGCGTCCACGAGGTCGATGCTCATCGAGGCCAAACTCCTTGATACCCGAGGTTACTTCGGGCAGCGTCTACGATCGCGGCCCGAAGTAATCCTCCTAAACATAGTAACTCCGCAGGGCTTATTTCACAGATAAACGAAAATAGTGACTGAAGTAAATATGGTGGTCCAAAAATGGAGGGCAGTGCAGTGTAGTGTCGCGCTATATTCTCCTTTCCAAATGGGCCCTTCTTCGTGAAAATGAGTATCTCACCTACATGTTGTGAAACTGTTAGAAAAGCGCACGCATCAAACTATATTTCAAACTCCCTTCCTAACTTCTACCTGGTAGGTTTTTTTCATCAAGGAAGG